AGCTAATAGGCAAGCCACCTGTAGTGGGTGCGAAGAAAGCCAATGGGAAAGGGAGGGGAACAACACGCAAGTGGAGCTAATCAGAGCCAATGTAAGGTATCGTTGTTTATTTCTGGCCAAAGTGTTTGTTTTCTCGCAAAGACATTAAATGTGCTAAAATTTTGGTTAGATCTGTTTGGTAAGGTTTAGCGTAATGATTGGTTAAGTGTTTAATGTTCATATGTGTGACGATGAAATGGCTAAAGCCTGAATTGCTTGATTCGTATGATCCCATACTGTTTAGCATTTACAGCTAGAGAAGCATGTTACTACTAAGATCCATCAATTGCCTGTAGTAATTGAAAAATGGAATCGTTTTTGTTTTGCTCAAATCAAGCCGAATCTAAGAGAGTCGTTGTGCAATGCAAAAGAAGTTTTATGTCGCAAACGAGCCAAATCAAGCCGACCATAGCTCGCTATGTAATGCGACTTTCGCATTGCGTAGCGATTCAGCTACAAAAACCGAATTAGTTTGCTGACAATTCGAAGATGATCTGATTACAAATCAGAAACACTGAAATGAGCCGTGAATAATCCCCGTCAAATCTCTAATGAACTCCCCTTCACGTACATTTTACGATCTTTGAGGTGTATTTCCCCTACTACTATTTGTGAATAACGATTACCATTATTTATATGTGGTAATTATTACATTAATTATTCTGTTACGTAATGAATAATCCCAAGTTTTAATTCCATCCTTATTATTTTCGGCGTTTATTTGTAACAACACTGTTTTGTATTATCCAAACACAAAGTATTCATATCATACATACACAAAGGAAGGAGATCCTCCAAATGAGATATACGAAAGTTAAATTTCATCATCCGAATCGATAGTGCATGATATCCGTGTACATCTTATACATACACAGCTAACGTACAGATTTAAGGGTTGAATTCATGTATCACTTTGGTGTCCCTCACGAATCGTCTCTTTCGCGCTCCGTCGCGACAATTATTCTATCTTCAACTTACGCAATTTCGAAATCATAAAAACATCAAAG